TGTGGCTCAGCCGCCCAACAGCAGGAGGGAAACGGCCCTGTTCTGTCTTTATTTACTTAATTTCATTTAATTAATTTTTATTTTTCGAGTCAGAGGCTCGTTCTGCTGCGCAGGCTGGAGTGCCATGGCACAGTCTCGGCTCACTGCAGCCTCCATCTCCCGAGTTCAAGTGATTCTCCTGCCTCAGCCTCCTGAGTAGCTGGGATTACAGGCACACGCCACCACACCCAACTAATTTTTGTATTTTTAGTGGAGGCAGGGTTTCATTGTGTCGGCCAGGCTGGTCTTGAACTCCTGACCTCAGAGCCCCCACAGTGCTGGGGTGACAGGTGTGAGCCCCGTGCCCGGCCTCTGTTCTTCCTTGACCTCTTCCCTGTGGCAGCAGTAAAGCCACTGTAGCTCCAGATATCACATGTGAGTTCAAGGCAAAAAGTTCCCTGGGAATCATCAAAGTTAGGGCCTTGCCAGAGGCCCCACCATAGTTCGCTTGGCTGTCACTGGCCAAAAAGGAGGCAGGCAGCCCTTCCTGGTTATGAGAGAGGCAGAGAAGGTGGGTGTCTTGCCTGGGACTGGTCTGTTGCCACTTCCTATCAAATGAGGGTAGAGGGCTGGGCATAGTGGCTCACGCCTGTGATCCCAGCACTTTGGGAGGCCAAGGAAGGTGGATCATAAGGTCAGGAGATCTAGACCAGCCTGGCCAAGATTGTGAAACCCCGTCTGTACTAAAAATACAAAAATTAGCCGGGTGTGGTGGCGTGAGCCTGTAATCCCAGCTACTCGGGAGGCTGAGACAGGAGAATCACTTGAACTAGGGAGTTGGAGGTTTCAGTCAGCCGAGATCGTGCCACTGCCCTCAAGCCTGGGCGACAGAGCGAGACTCCATCTGAAAAAAAAAAAAAAAATGAGGCTAGAGTAGGCAGGGAAGAAGGGAAGATGGGCGTTGCTGTCTGCCAGTGCCCTGGAGAGCAGAGTCCATACATTAACTTCTTCCTGATTTCCAGGATCGATGCTCTAATGATTCTGTGCCATGGCCTTCCCTCCTTGCTTCTGTGCACACACACAGACATTTCTGCTTTATTCAAACATGGTGACATACTGCACAGGACTGTTACTCATCTCTTTTTCACTTAATAAGATGCCGTAGGTCATCTGCATAGATTTTAGTGGCTGTGTCGCACTCCAGCATATAGAAATACCGTTAATTCGCGTAGCCAATCCTTGTGATTCAGGTCGCGTTTAATATTCCACACTAACAAGCAGCCCTGTGTCTTCTGACTTTTTATATTCATTTATAACTGGTGTCACAGCTCATAATCTTATTATGCTGGGCTTAAGGTTGTACCAACCACGAAACCTTTTGATACCAGTGACCAGACTGACTCTGGAAAAGCTGTGCTGGTTACAGACAGCCTCCGAGAGTTCCCGCGAGCCTCTATGCCCTGACAGCTCTGTATATTGTTATTATCTTAAAATCCTTGCCAATTTCATACAAACGGGGAAAACCGTATAGAACTTTACATATTCTCTGATTATAAGTGAGGTTAACATTTTTAAAAATACACTTTGAATATTTGTACTTCTCTTTGTAATTTTCCATTCATTTCCCTTGCCCATTTAGAAAGCTGAGGTATTCGTCTTTTCTCATTGGCTTGTAAAAGTGCTTGACTGGCTGGGCATGGCGGCCCTCACCTGTAATCCCAGTTACTCGGGAGGCCGAGGCAGGAGAATCACTTGAACCCGGGAGACAGAGGTTGTACTAAGCCGAGATTGTGCCACTTCACTCCAGCCCGGGTGACAGAGTGAGACTCCATCTCAAAAAAAAAAAAAGTGCTTTTTGTATTCAAGTATTGTCATAATATGCAGAACACGGGAAAGTTTCTAGGAGAGGACACAGATGAGGCAGATTTGAGGGCAAAACGGGATGTTATCAGATGGACAAGGGGTAAGGAGGGACGTGCGTGTGCGCGCTCGTGTCTGTGTTTATAGAGATGTAAACATGTCTCCCTGTGTTGCCCAGGCTGGTCTCAAGCCCCTAGGCTCAAGTGATCCTCCAGCCTCAGCCTCCCGCAGCTCTGGGATGACAGGCGTGAGCCGCTGCACCCACAAGGAGGGCTTTCTAGGCACAGGAGCAGCGTGTGCAGAGCGGGCAGCGTTCGAGTGTTGGGCACTGCACGTGTGTCTTAGTGCTGCCGTTAGGGATCGCCGTGGACTTGATAGCTTGAAGCAGCAGAAATGGATTCTCTTGCAGTCTGAAGACAGACGTGAAGTCAAAGCCCCTCCCAAGACTGCCGGGTGCTCACCGACTTGCCTCTTCCAGTGTCTGGCGGCTCCAGCCGTTCCTTGGTGGCAGCCCCACTCCGAACCCTGCCTCTGTCTTCCCACGGCCTTCTCCTCTGCATCTGCGTCTCCTCCTTTCTCTTTCTGTAAGGACACAGAATTGGATTTGGACTCACTGGCTAATCAAGGATGATCTCATCTTGAGATACTTAATTACATCCACGAAGACTTGTTTTTTCTAAGTAAGGTCACATCCACAGGTCCCGGAATCAGAATCTGGACACACTGTGTGGGTGGGGGGGGCCACCATTGAGCCCACCACCAGGACCTGGAAGGAGGCTGGAGAACAGGGCAGGAGAACAGGGCCCTGGAGAGGTGGGGCAGGTGCTGACCACAAAGGGCCTTGGGCTGAGGATGGGGCTGTGCCCTGAAGTGGACGGGGAGCTGTGGACGGGCAGCTGTGGACGGGGAGCTGTGAACGGGCAGCTGTGGGCGGGGAGCTGTGGACAGGGAGCTGTGGATGGGCAGCTGTGGGCGGGCAGCTGTGGGCGGGGAGCTGTTGGACAGCTGTGGACAGGCAGCTGTGGACGGGGAGCTGTGGACAGGCAGCTGTGGATGGGGAGCTGTGGACGGGCAGCTGTGGGCGGGGAGCTGTGGACGGGCAGCTGTGGGCGGGGAGCGGTTGGACAGCTGTGGACAGGCAGCTGTGGACGGGGAGCTGTGGACGGGCAGCTGTGGGCAGGGAGCTGCGGTTGGACAGCTGTGGACGGGGAGTTGTGGAACTGGGTAGGGACATGGTCCGATTTGTGAGCCAGCACAGCCGGTACTGTGGGGAGAGTCTAGAATTGTCCTTGTGAGAGTTGGTCGGTGGGGGGGTGTCACTTCACAGTACAGGGATGAGGAGCAGCAGTGGGAGGCATCTGGCATCTGAATGACTCCCAGCTTTCCTGCGTGAGTGATCTGGGGCATTAACTTCAGGAAAAGGCTGAGTTTGAGGTTCCCGAAGGTGGAGATGCCCAGGAGTCATAGCCCACACTTCTCCCGGGAATATGAACACCGTGTAGGAGAGGAAGGTGAAGGAGGGTGACGGAAGCCTGGTGAGGACCAGTCCCTGACCACCACCATCCTCTTCCTATGACAAACTTTAAACACAGAGAAGTTGGAAGATTCCATAGTGGACACCGCTCACCTGCTGTCTAGGTCGGCAGTGATCACTTTTCCACACTTGCTTGATCAGACACTATCTGTCTTTCCCTCCCTGCAGACAGCAGCATTCCATCTGTTTTTCGTTGTTTTGTTTTGTTTTGTTTTATTGAGACAAAGTCTCACTCTGTCGCCCAGGCTGGAGTGCAGTGGTGCGATCTCAGCTCCCCGCAACTCCCTTCTCCCAGGGTCAAGCGATTCTCCTGTCGCAGCCTCCCAAGTAGCTGGGATTACAGGTGCCTGCCACCATGCCCAGCTAAGTTTTGTGTTTTTTGTAGAGAGGGGGTTTCACCATGTTGGCCAGGCTGGTCTCGAACTCCTGACCTGGTGATCCGCCCGCCTCGGCCTCCCAGGTGCTGGGATGACAGGCGTGAGCCTCCACGCCCGGCCATCTTATTTTTAATGCATTTCAGAGTAAGTTGCAGAGTGGTGCTCTTCTCTTCGGCATTCCAGCACGTCAGTCACTAGAGCTCAGTGTTTATGGAAGTGCATACGTCATCAGTGCACCACCTGATACATCTCAATGAACGCATTTGCTTGTGTATCTCAAGCCCCGCCCAGATACAGAGAATTTTCCACCCAGTTTCCTCGTGCCCAGTATAGTGGACTCATGTCCCCACACCACCCCCAGAGGGAACCATGAGTTTGAGTTTTTTCAGTGATAGATTGGTTGTGTGTGTGCAGAGCGTCGCATGCGCGGAAGCGTGGAGGATGTGCCCTTCGTGCCACGTCTTCCGTGCAGGGTCATGTCTGGGGGGTCATTTGTGCTGCTGCGCCCTTTCACTGATGGACGATATTCTCTTCTAAGGATCTGTAAGGAAAACCGATTTTTTATTTTCCGTTAAGTTCTGGGATACATGTGCAGAGTGTGCAGTTTGTTATCTCAGTATACATGTGTCATGGAGCTTTGCTGCACATATCAACCCATCATCTAGGTTTTTTGGTTTTTTTTTTTTTTTTTTTTTAGACAGATTTTTGCTCTTGTTGCCCAGGCTGGAGTGCAGTGACACAATCTCAGCCCACTGTAGCCTCCACCTTCTGGGTTCAAGCGATTCTCCTGCCTCAGCCTCCCGAGTAGCTGGGATTACAGGCTCTCACCACCACATCCAGCTCATTTTTGTGTTTTTAAGAGATGAGCTTTCTTCATGTTGGTCAGGCTGGTCTCGAACTCCTGGCCTCAGAAGATCTGCCTGCCTCGGCCTGCCAAAGTGCTGGGATGACAGTTGTGAGCCACCACACGCAGCCCCATTATCTAGGTTTTAAGCCCCACATACATTAGGTATTTGTCCTAATACTGTCCCTCCCCTTGCCCCCCACCCCCAGCAGGCCCTGTGTGGTGTTCCTCTCCCTAGGAACAGCAATTTTTTTTTTAATAGTTTAATGTATTTTAATAGCAAACTTACAGGAACGGCACAGAAGACAGACAACATTAAAAACATGTACTTGCATGTCGGACAACTCAGTTAGAAAGTATAGTGAATGGATGGAATCTACTATATGATAAAATGCTACAAACACCATTTAGTTGCCGTCAATAAGAAATTTACTTGTTTTAAAAAAATGCAAATGCTGGCATTGTCCAGAAAAATTTAACAGGTTTATTTATAATTATTATAAAGTTGAACCGCTGAAACTTGTTCACTGAAACATTTTAACTTGCATTAATGCTTTACGTCTCCGCATTTATATTAAAAATTCACACACAAATGAAAATGGAAAAACTGCCAATACCTGATTTCTGTCCCCTATTTTTCCACTTGCAATCATATACTTAGGTACGTTTTGACCCCATGGAAAAAAAATTATCTAACATTCAGAACTACCAGTAACAGGAAGAAGAGAATTTTTTTGCATTGGGCTTTTGAGAATGAAATGTTTCCCATCATTGTGGATTCTTCAGCACGCTCTCCACGTATGCGGCGTGCTAGCTGGATGTCTTTTGGCATAATTGTTACACGTTTGGCATGGATAGCACAAAGGTTGGTGTCTTCAAAAAAGCCAACCAGATAGGCCTCACTTGCCTCCTGCAAAGCACCGATCGCTGTGCTCTGGAAGCGCAGATCTGTTTTAAAGTCCTGAGCAATTTCTCGCACCAGACGCTGGAAGGGAAGTTTGCGAATCAGAAGTTCAGTGGGCTTCTGATAACGTCTAATTTCACGGAGTGCCACGGTACCAGGCCTGTAACGATGACGTTTCTTCACCCCTCCAGTAGAGGGCGCACTCTTGCGAGCGGCTTTTGTAGCCAGTTGCTTCCTGGGTGCTTTACCACCGGTAGATTTTCGGGCAGTCTGCTTTGTACGAGCCATGGTATAGAGACCTCCTTACTTACCCCCCTTCTCCTTCGGCTGGAGCTGGGCGAGCGAGAGGCGGTGCGGTGGCGGCTGCGAACACCTCAATTTTTAAGGAGTGGTTAGAGAAATAATATTTGGCCAAGGAGCCTGGGAAGGAAGAGTGAAGGTCACAGGAACAGCACCCAAGTGGGGATGTCAAGGCAAATCGCCTGGATCGGTTGGTTACATTAGGCTTCACTGCAGATAACAGAAAAACCAAGAGCCAGGGGTTTTAAAAGCATTGGCATTTTTTCTTTCTGTTGTGTAAAAATGTCCAGAGGTAGATCAGTCGTCCTGGGGTGGGCTCCACTGTGCCGTCAGTGGCCTGGACTCAGCTTTCTTTCTTTTTTATGCAACACCCCCGTTCTCTCTCTGGCAAAATCTCTGAGAAAGAAAAAAAAAAAAAGAAAAAGAAAAAAAAAATGAAGGAGAGGAAGAAAGAGAAAGAGGAAGGGAGAGAGAGAACGGGGGTGTTGCTTTATTGCCCGGGCTAGAATGCAGTCTAAAAATGGGTATGCCTATAATTGTGTTTAATAATAGAGACATGAAAAAAAAATGAGGGAAGCAAATAACTAACAAGCAGCCAACCAATATTTCATTTAAACCTGTAAATAGGTGTGATGTGGTACTGATAAGAGTGTATATTTTGTGTATTTAAAGTGGAGAGTTCTATAAATGTTAATTAAGTTTACTTGTTCCGGATCTGAGTTCAGATCTGGATATGGTTGTTAGTTTTCTGTCTCATTGATCTGTCTAATATTGATGTCGAAGTCTCCCACTATTATTGTGTGGGAGTCTAAGTCTCTTTATAAGTCTTATATATCTGGGTATCCCTGTATTGGGTGCGTATATATTTAGGATCTTTAGCTCTTCTTGTTACATTGATCCTTTTATCATTACGTAATATCTTTCTTTGCTTCTTTTGATCTTTGTTGCTTTAAAGTCTATTTTATCAGCAAAAATTGCAACTCCTGCTTTCTATTTATTTATTTATTTTTGCTCGCCATTTGGTTGGTAAATCTTTCTCCATCCCTTTGTTTTGAGTCTTTGTGTATCCTTGCATATGAGATGGGTCTGGATGCAGCATACCAACGGGTTTTGGCTTTTTTTGCCTGTCTGGTTCTTTGGATTGGGGGATTTAGTCGATTTAAATTTAGAATTAATAATAATACATGTGAGTTTAATACTGCCATTTAATGTTAGCTGGCTGTTTTGCCTATTAGTTGATGTAAATTCTTGATTATGTTGATGCTCTTTTTTTTTTTGGTATTTTTTAGAAAGGCCGATACTGGTTGTTCCTTTCTATGTGTGGTGGTTCTTTCAGAAGCTCTTGTAAAGCAGGCCTGGTGGTGATGAAATCTCTGAGTGCTTGCTTGTTCACAAAAGATTTTATTTTTCCTTCGCTTATGAAGCTTAGTTTGGCTGGATGTAAAATTCTGGGTTGAAAGTTCCTTTCTTTAAGGATGTTGAATATTGGCCCCCACTCTCTTCTGGCTTGTAGGGTTTCTGCTGAGAGATCTGCTGTGAGTCTGATAGGCTTCCCTTTGTGGGTAACCTGACCTTTCTCTCTGGCTGCCCTCAGTATTTTCTCCTTCATTTCAACCCTGGTGAATCTGGCGATTATGTGCCTTGAGGTTGGTCTTCTTGAGGAATATCTTTGTGGTGTTCTCTGTATTACCTGGAGTTGAATATTGTCCTGCCTTGCTAGGTTGGGAAAGTTTTCCTGAATAATATCCTGAAGCGTATTTTCCAGCTTGGATTGATTCTCTTCGTCACATTCAGGTACACCTATCAAGCGTAGATTAGGTCTTTTCACATAGTCCCATATTTCTTGGAGACTTTGCTCGTTCTTTTTTATCCTTTTTTCTCTAATCTTGTCTTCTCATTTTATTTCATTAAGTTGGTCTTCGACCTCTGATATCTTTTCTTCTGCTTGATCAATTCGGCTGTTAAAACTTGTGCATAGTTCGTGAAGTTCTCATGTTATATTTTTCAGCTCCATTAATTCACTTATATTCCTCTCTAAATTGTGTGTTATTGTTAACATTTCGTCAAACCTTTTTTCAGAGTTCTTAGTTTCTTTGCATTGGGTTAGAACAAGTTCTTTTAATTCCCAGAAGTTTCTTATCATCCACTTTTTAAAGCCAGCTTCTGCTAATGGAACACAGTCTTTTTCCATCAGGCCTTGTTCCATTGCTGATGAGGAACTGTGATCCCCTGTAGAGGGAGAGGCGTTCTGATTTTGGGTATTCTCAGCCTTTTTAGGCTGGTTTCTTCCCTTCGTTAGATTTATCCATCTGTGGTCTTTATAATTAACGTCTTTATAGTTGGGTTTCTGAGTGGACGTCCAACTTGTTGATTCCTGGTGCTAAAATCTGAGCAACCCACTGCGCCGGCCAAAACAGCGGCGTTAAGATTGATGGTGCTTTTCTGACTCTGCACCGAGAGCCGCCGCACCAAGGCAGCGGCAAAACCGCCTCACCGGCCTCAAGAGTCGTGCTGGTGACCCGTGGGGCTCCTCCACTGGGAATCTCCTGGTGCGTGAGCAACAAAAATTGATCTGAAAGTGTGGCATCCTCTCGTTCTCTGTGCTTTCAGTGGGAGCTACAATCCCGAGCTGCTAGTGATCAGCCATCTTGGATCTCTCTCCTGGACTCTGAGCTTTCTGCCCTGCCATCCTCAGTACTGGCCTCTAGCCTCTGGCTTACCTCATGGTTCAGGGTCGCTGCTGGAGCTCCAGCCATCCTATCTACTCTCCAAACCAGCAACAGAAGGAGGAACAAGGGCGGCACGCGTAGTGAACCTTTCGGCTAAGTCAGTCTCTTTCAAAATTCCACACCTATCCATTTAACATCTCGTTGGCCAGAACTTAATCATACGGCCCACACCGTCAGGAAAGGTGTTTTTTAACTGGCTGCCAGGTGCACTGCCGCTCCGAGTACAGTAGGGTTTCTGTTAGTTGGAGGGGAAATGGATATTGGCTGCCAACAGCCTTGTAAGGCACAGCTTGTGTGGGCGTGTCTGAGACACATGAGCGAGCTCTTTCTTGAGCTGTGGTGCCCAAGCCACTGTCTAAGCAGCATACCCACCCGTGGCCTTTGGAACCTGAAGCCTGTGCCCAGGAGGTTCCCATCTTCCTTCCCCAGAGCTCCTGCCTTCTCTGAGGGTCGGTTTCCCCAGCTTTTCTGTGTCCCTCATGGGGCCAGACTCTGGCCAACTGGGTGCTGCTGTGCCTCTTCCTCCTCCCCTGGAAGGACCAGTTCACATCCTGACAGCCACAGACACAGGCATCCTGGTCTCCAGGGACTGGGCCTTATGTCCTAGGTGTGTGGTGTACACGCATCTCAGTGGGGGAGGGGCGTCTCTGGGTCCCGCCCAGGTGTGTGGTATACACACATCTCAGTGGAGGAGGGGCGCCTCTGGGTCCCGCCCAGGCGTGGGGTACACGAATCTCAGCGAGGGGAAGAGCATCTCTGGGTCCCCGCCCAGGAGTGTGGTGTATAGCATCTCAGTGGGGGGAGGGGCGTCTCTGGGTCCTGCCCAGGTGTATGGGGTAGATGCATCTCAGTGGAGGGAGGAGCCTCTCTGGGTCCCACCCAGGAGTGTGGTGTACAGCATCTCAGTGGGGGGAGGGGCGTCTCTGGGTCCCGCCCACGTGTGTGGTGTACACGCATCTCAGTGGGGGGAGGAGCGTCTCTGGGTCCCGCCCAGGTGTGTCGGGTACACGCATCTCAGTGGGGGGAGGGGCGTCTCTGGGTCCCGCCCAGGTGTGTCGGGTACACGCACCTCAGTGGGGGGAGGAGCGTCTCTGGGTCCCGCCCAGGTATGTCGGGTACACGCATCTCAGTGGGGGAGGGGCGTCTCTGGGTCCTGCCCAGGTGTGTGGGGTACACGCATCTCAGTGAGGGGATGTCACTGGGTCCTGTGGTTCATGCAGGCGCCGGTCTAGGGAAGAGACAGTCCATGTCCCTGGCAGCTGAATGGGGCCTCATCTGAGGGACGGGGACAGGCAGCTGACAGGAGCAGGTGCAGCGAGCCTGGGGGTGGCGCTCAGCTGCCAAAAGGCCAGATTGGAGGGAGCGCGGCCGTGGCCAGGCGTCCTGGTGACCTGTTGACACTGTTCCCCGGCTGCAGCTGCCTGCGGGCTGGTGTGTTGTGGCAGAAGTGGGAAGGGCTGGGCCCCGTGGTGAACTTGGCAGAAGCCTCAGACCCGACAGACGGTGCGTTCCTCCACTCATTCATTCACTCCATGTGCTTCCCCAACAGCCTCCCACAGGTTGGTTCATGGGTGCTGGGCATGCAGTGATGGCTGAGGCACCCACCTCCTGCCCCAGGGGGTCAAGGACAAAGGGGCAGGACTCACTAGGGCGCCAGGGGGCCATGTGCTGTGGGGAGGACGAGCTGGGGGAATCCATTCGGGCAGATGACAGGGCAGGCCCAGCCAGCGCCCCTCACACGGGGCAGGACGCGAAGCTGCCTGGCGGGAGTTGGCCTGGAGTTTCTCGCGGAGAGATTAACAAGTGGACACTGCTGCTGCCACTGGGCAGCCCCTTGTGTAGGAGGCTCTGCTGGCCCCGGGGCTGCCAGGGAGTCTGGGGGACGGGCAGAGTGATGGCGTCTCCAGTACCCGCCGCTGGCGGTGCCCGCTCCGTGCGGAGTCTTACCCCTGCTCCGAGGTGAGTGTAGGGGGTGTCCATGCCCCCGCCAGCCCCAGAAGCAGCACCCCACACTCTCCATTCCTGGCTGTGGGGGTCACGGCTGGCATAGGGAAACAGGCCAAGGGGCCGGGGCCGGTGGGAGGGTCCTCCTGGGTGCAGGGGCCTTTCCGAGGCTGCCCTTGTAGCCTTCTGGGAAGGTGTGAAGCCCCGGGTGCTGCCCTGCACACCCCCTCACTGCACTGGCTCAGCGAGGGGGGTGCCCCAGGCCTGGGCTCTGGAGCCCGAGTGGTGCTGGCAGCCCCGGGTGGGGGATGTTAACGGGCTCACGTCCCCGGCCACCTTCCTTCCCCCTTCCTCTGAGCTAAACCCGCCTTGGAGTGATGGAAATCAGCGCTGGCTCCGAGGAGTCTGCGGGGCGCCCCGTCCCTGCCAGGCCTGGGCACCGCCTCCCCGCCCACGCCCTGCTGCCCTGGGCGCCCGTCCTCCGCGCAGGGCCCTGTTCCGAGGGCCGAGGGCTACCCCCGGCCCCCCAAGGGAGTGGGCTCGGTACAAACGGCTCCCCGGGGAGGAGGGCCGCGGGAAGTGGCATGGCCCGGCCCGCCCCCACCCCCTATTCCCTATAAAAAGCAAAATGGTGACTCAGAGAGGAGAGTTGGACGCGTCCTGCCTCCTGCTCCCTCGTTAATTTGTACACTCAGAACTCGGCAGAAGGCAGAGGAAACGGCAGCTTGAAACGCGCGGCTGCAGCGCTGCTCCGTGGGGACCCACAGCCGAGCCGTCCTCCCCGACGCCAGCAGCCCGCGCCGGGCCGACCCCGCGCAGCCCCCGCCAGGCCGGCGTGGATGGTGCGGCCGGGGCCATGGCAGCCGGGGGCCGTCGGCGGCGCCCACTGCGCTACCAGTCCCTGGCGGCCCTGGTGGAGGATTCTCAGTGGCCTTTCTTGTTCCTTGTCTCAGACTTCAGCTACGCCGCGGACGACTACGACGCCGAGGGGCATGAGGAGCAGAAGGGGCCCCCCGAGGGCTCGGAGGCCATGCCCTACATCGACGAGTCGCCCACCATGTCCCCGCAGCTCAGCGCCCGCAGCCAGGCCGGCGGCGACCGCGTCTCCCCGACTCCGCCCGAGGGGCTGGCTCCTGGGGTAGGTACCCCTGCGTTTCCTTCTGGGGGTGGGGGGCCGGCTCTGCTCGGTGGTCTCGAGGGGACGGGGCTGGAGATGCTGGGACCTGTCTGGGGCCCGCTCAGGCTGAGGCTCCCTCCCACCTGCTTTGCCAGCACTGCCCGTCTCTCCCCTCTGCCCCATCTGCCCCCCAGGCCTCCGGACCCCTCCCCGCCTCTTGGAGCTTTTCCTTGTCAGCCCCTCCTCAGGAGGGCCAGGCTTCCCCCCGCCCCCCGCACCCAGGCTGGGCCCGGGCTGCACACAGACCCGCGGGCTGCAGGCGTTCGGATGCCGCCCCCGCAAAGCCGAGGCTGCGCCGGGCTCTCCCCTGTGGGGCACAAGAGCGGCCCCTCCGGCCGGGTCCGTCCACTCTGGAAGGGAATAAAGCCGGCCGCGTCATTCTCCTTGTTGACGGAGATGAGAGCTGTGCTGGGGAAGGGGTGTGGAGCGTGAGCCTGGTGGGGACACAGCCTGGGGGGTTTGACGTCCTGGCCATTAACGCTGTTCCCGGTGACAGGCCAGGCTGGCCGGGCGCAGCTGTGTGGGCGCGGCTGAGACACGTGAACGAGCAAAACAGATTCCGGGGGGCTGTGCCCGGAGCATCCAGGCCGGTCCTGTGGCAGGGGCGGTGGGAGTGCCCAGCCTCGCTTGGTCTGGTCGTCCGGGCGTGTTTTGTGGAGGTCTCTCTGTTCTGCCTTCTGGCTTTCCCAGAGGAGCGATCCCTGAGACGCCATGTGCCACCTCTTCCTCCTGGGGGGGCCGTGCCCCCCACTCCGGCCGAGGCAGCCTGGATGCTCCCGTTCTGAAGAACCCCCTGCCCTTTCCCTTGCCAGCCTCCTTGGCCTCCCTCCTCCCCCCTGCAGAGCTCTCACCCCCCTCTTCACACTTGGGGGATGGGGAGGGTGTTATAGCCTTTGGTAACCAGGGCCTTGGCAACGGGCTTCCCACTTGGGGGAAGCCACATTGTTGCCGTGGCAACGGAGGCCGAGGCAGAGCTTAGCACAGCCCAGCAGGGCAGGCTTGGGAAGGGCTGGCGGGGGGTCGGTGGGAGGTCGAGGGGCTGGCGAGGTTGAGGGTTGGCGTCGGGACCCCCACCTGGCATCCTGGAGTGTTGCTGACCTGCAGGGGCAGGTTTTTCACCCCGGCCTCCGGAGGCATCAGGCTCAGGATACAAATAGTACCGAGCGAGGCAGAGCGGGTGTTTGGGGACCTGAACGGAGGCCACCCAGGGGACAGCAAGAAGGAGACTCGCTCCTATCCCCGCCCTCAGCTCCTGACCACAGCAGGGCTCAGGGCCCGGCCTGGGGACTCAACGCCACCCACTGTGCGCAGCTGTGGGAAAGTCCTGTGGAAGATGCTGCGGAAACCCGGTGTAGGCAGGGTCTTCACCGCCGCCCGTCCCCGGGATCCCTGTGTGGGGCAGGGTCTTCACCGCAGCCCATCCCCGGGATCCCGGTGTGGGGCAGGGTCTTCGCCGCTGCCTATCCCCGGGCTGGGTCACCTCCCTCTTTGCTCCCAGTCCCCAGTTCCTGTCCTTGTCACATGACCACCCTGCTGACTCCCCCCTCCCCGCCCCCGTGTGCGTGGATAATTCCTCAGGCCACCAGGTTTCTTCTGTTGGGAGACAGATCACGGGTGTCACGCTCCGAGGCTTCGTAGTCTTTGTGGCTGGTGTTTTGCGTGGTAGCTCACCAGGGACCACCTTGGTGTGAGGACCTTGAAATCCAGAGACGCTGGAGTGACAGCCCCTAAAGTGCTGTAGCTCCCAGGGTTGATGTTTACACCATTGGTTACAAGCCGTGCAAGAAGGGGCAGGAGGGAGCAGCTGTCCAGCCTGGGATCGCCCTGAAAAGGTTCTGTCCTGTGCACCTGCCTTCCCTCCTGGGGCAGCGTTTCTGCCCCTTCTGCTGGGTCACTTGCCCCACCTAGTGGACTCTGCTAGTATTGCTATTTACACGGGCGACTGGAGGGAGCCGACCCCAGTTCCTGAGTCCTTGGGGATGTTTTGGTTAAAAATACGAATAATACAAGACTGAGGTTTCTGCAGCTTGACTTGCTTATTTGGCCAAGCAGGTCCCCTCCCCTGCCAGGCTTCCTGCCGGGACCTTGGGAACAGCGGGGACTTCTGGACCAAATCAGACAATTGTTCTAGGCATTCAGATATCTGGCTCTTGCACAGCCTGAGCCTTCCCACCCAAGTATGCCGCCAACGGGAAGCCAGAGGTTTAGGCTTTTTCTTTTTCTTTCTTTCTTCTTTTTTTATTTGAGATGGAGTCTTACTCTGTCGCCCAGGCTGGAGTGCAGTGGCGCGATCTCTGCTCACTGCAACCTCCGCCTCCCAGGTTCAAGTGATTCTCCTGCCTCAGCCTCCCGAGTAGGTGGGATTACAGGCACCTGCCACCACAGCCAGCTAATTTTTGTATTTTTAGTAGAGACAGGGTTTCACCATGTTGGCCAGGCTGGTCTTGAATCCCTGACCTCAGGTGATCCACCCGCCTCAGCCTCCCGAAGTGCTGGGATTACAGGCATGAGCCACCTCGCCTGGCCTCCAAGGTTTAGTCTTTGTGTTAGTCAGCGTTCTCTAGAGAAACAAGACCAACAGAGAGTGTGTGTGTGTGTGTGTGTGTATTTCTACATACAAAGAAATTTTTTTTTTTTTAAAGATGGGGTTTCACCATGTTGGTCAGCTGGTCTTGAACTCCTGACCTCAGGTGATCCACCTGCCTTGGCCTCCAAAATGCTTTGATTACAGGCGTGAACCACCACGCCCAGACGTATGAAGAAATTTTTAAGAAGGAGTTGATTCAGGTGATTATGAAGGCTTAGAAGTCCTAATTGCTGCAGTCAGTTGCTGGAGACCCAGGACAGCCAGTCTGAAGTCCCCGTCCAAGTCCAAAGCCCTGAGAACGGGAGAGCCAGTGATATCCATTCCAGCTGGAAGCCAGCACACTCGAGGTGCAGGAAGACCTGGTGTTTCAGTCCTAGTCCAGAGGCTGGAAAAGGCCAGCCCCCAGCTCAGGCTCAAGTGGTCAGGTGGGAGGAGCTCCCGCTTACTCTGCCTTTGTGTTGATTCGGGTGTTCTTCGGACTGGATGAGGCCCACCCACCCTGGGGAGCGCGCTCAGTTTTACTCAGTCCGCCAACACAGATATCAGCCTCATCCCAAATGCTTCACAGATATGTTCAGATTAACATCTGGACAAACATCTGGCAGCTTGCGGCCCAGTCAGGCTGACCTAGAAAACGAACATCACACTCTTACTCCCTGAGCAGCCCAGGGTGGAAAACACGCAAGCTTTGCACAGATGAAAATCCATGACTCTCAGACTGGGTGCGGTGGCTCGCGCCTGTAATCTCAGCACTTTGGGAGGCTGAGGCGGGCAGATCACCTGAATTCAGGAGTTCGAGACCAGCCTGGCCCACATGGTCAAACCCCGTCTCTACTGAAAATACAAAAATTAGCCGGCCATAGAGGCGGGAGCCTGTCATCCCAGCTACTTGGGAAGCTGAGGCAGAATTGCCTGAACCCGGGAGGCGGAGGCTGCAGTGAGCCGAGATCATGCCATTGCACTCCAGCCTGGTGACAGAGCGAGCCTCCATCTCAAAAGGAAAGAAAATCTCCTGCTCCTTAGCTGTGAGACACTGGGCACATGTCCTCACACTGCAGAGCCCCAGTCAGCGCCAGGCCCAGCTTCCCAAATTTCACAGCCCAGGGCCACCAGGGCCCACGAGACTTTTCCCATCAGACTGTAGAGGGCTGGGAGACCAACGCACCACAAAGACCCCATCTGGTAAATATCAGCTGCAAATGACTGAACCTGCTTTGGCAGTCCATCTCCTTTCTGCCAAGTGGGGTGGCCCCAGGGAAGCTGGGTCTCTGTGGTATTGGCAGGACGCGCACCTCCCCGCCCCCTGCATCACGCCTTCCACAGCCTTGCTCTCCGCCCTTGTCTTGGTCTGTCTCCCCAAGATAGGCATCCTGCAGAGGTGTCAGGATGAAACCTGAAGGCCTGCCCCATAAGCCCTCCCCGAGTCCAGGCTGAGCAGGGCACCATGGCAGGGCCCGGGCCACAGACCTCTGGTGGCTGCATTCAACGGAGAGTGCCCGGTTTCATGCTGAGAAGGAAGGACCAGGACGTGTGTCGGCTGACACGTGGGGATGTAGGGTCCTAAGCCAGGACCCTGGTCTTACAGAAAATGCCACATGCCAGAGAGTCCTCTGTGTCCCCTCTGGGAAGCTCAGTGAAAAGGGGCTGCAAGGCAGAGAGAAGGTCTGGGTTTTGTCCCAGCTCTGCGACTGTCTCCCTGTGTGGCCTGAGAGGTGTCCCTCACCCCGCCCTGAGCTGCAGTTTGCCCATCTGTAGAGTGAGGATGCTGAGAATTTCCTCCCGCCTGACCTCACACTGAAACCTCACAGCTGTTGTGGTTTCTGTGAGATGGTGTTTGGCAGAATGCTTTGTCAATGTGAAATTGAAATGGGGGTTAGACTCCGGGGTTCAGGCTTCAGCCTGCAGGAGAATCTGAAGATAATGGTGGAGGTGAATTGAAATCCTCACCATCGGCCGGGCGCGTGGCTCATGCCTGTCATCCCAGCACTTTGGGAGGCCAAGGCGGGTAGATCATCTGAGGTCAGGAGTTCAAGACCAGCCTGACCAAAATGGTGAAACCCGTCTCTACTAAAAATACAAAACAATTTAGCTGGGTGTGGTGGCAGGTGCCTGTAATCCCAGCTACTGGGGAGGCTGAGGCAGGAGAATCGCTGGAACCTGGTGTGGGTGCAGAGGTCGCGGTGAGCTGAGATCGCGACACTGCACTCCAGCAGCCTGGGGGAGAGCGAGGCTCCATCTCAAAAGAAAAAGGAAAAAAACCCTCACCATCGTCCCTTTCATCCCCCTCTTCCTCCACCTCCTCCTCCTCATCACAGCTGCTTAGACAGGCTTGTGCCGAACCTCTGATGTGTGTGGCCTTCACTTAAGGCCCTCA